ACGAATGCTTTATGCTGTATGCATGCTTGATTTCATTCTTGTAACTCGACTTCTGTTTCTAGTGTTGCTGTCGACGTGGGAGCCATGCTCTAGACTCAATACACTGAAGCTGTCAAAGAACTAGACCGTAAGACGCTCCGAGTGGGCCAAATCCTTCAACCTTATTATAACTAAAGTATCACTAGAAAATACTATACAAAGAAAAGTCAMTAGCCAAATTAAATCGCACGGAAAAAAAATACAAAAAAAATCAACAATAAACAAACACTTATCCTACTATTCTAGTCAGTAATTTTTATTGTGGTAWGGTTTTAATTGCGTTTTATCTCATTTCCATTTTTTCCATCTAAAATCTTGGGTTGCAACTACACCTGCAGTTGTATCGCCACCATGTGGGATGAATGGGTGTCAAAATCAGGCTACGTACTTTCTCATTTTATTCAATATTTCTGGTCAAAATTAAATCAATAAACCCAGGATCTTGGATTTAGGATGTTGTTTGACGATACGAAAAAAATAAAAGCGATTTCGAGAGAGTAAAAAGATCTATCACACGTCGAACATAGAAAACTTTATTCAAGGGGAAAAATGAAAAATATCAACTTTGAATGGCAAGGTCGAAGCTCATAAGAAAGGGGCCAAAAAGTTTAACACCGAAATGCTAAAATGTTTTTTCTTTYACACTTTATTTACAGGTGATTTTATCAAAGGGATGATTKGAAACTTTAGGGGGRTTTTATCGTCGTTTTTGCATGCTAGTGCAGTGTTTAATTTTTATCACCCTGCAGGCCTTTAGTCAGTCTTGCTATATTAACTGATGGTTAAACCAATTCTAATCATTCATTTCCATTCGATCCTTCAACCAAAGAATGAATTCATAAGATTTCAAGATGAAAACGAGTTAAAAGTTTTCTCGAGAGTTCTGTTTAGAAAATGTATTCCTTAATAGGTAGATAGATAGCTTTATTAAAATCYTTTGCAGCCATAAAGCTGGATAACGGACAATTACAAAAAATAAACAATAAATATATATAATAATGTAYGAAAAGTTAAAGATTGAAAAATTGAATTACTTAAAAAGCTAAGATACAAATATATAAATATATAATAGTCATTGCATTTGTCTTTGTCGCAGAAATCTGCACTCTAAATGATAKTATTTGTTTGCATTCGACGCCACATCGTCAAGGTTGTCGTAGATAGATGCATTTGATGGGCAATTACTGAAARGGAAATGAGGTGTCTTATCGCCAACTGATTCCTTCTACTTGTGAAATCGGCTAAGAATAGAARTATGGGATTACAGTTATGAAATGCTCAACCTGATAACGGTAAAACGTGTTCGCATCAATTTAGCAAACGTCACAAAGTGATCGATACGAGAAAATACTTGTTGAAGAATTTATAAAATGCATGAGCGATGCTATTGATGAAGCAATACCAATAATACTCCTTCAGTTAATAGGACGGTAAAATCCCTCAAAACCATCACACAAGATCTTCACCTAATGACGCCTTAAATATCTCCCGCTGTCTCTTAATATCGACTTCCTTGATCGATAAACATTGCCGGGCAACAATCAACATCCACATTCATAACCTTTGACCGTTCATTTCAAATTCCTCTCTCTGAAAACATGTTTTTCAAAACCTATCATCTTACTATTTCTGGAATTTTGCTTATCATTGTTTTTATTCAGAATCCCTCATTTGGAAAAAAAAACATTTTAAATAGCTATCCTGAGTTTATATCAAAAATTCTGCTTATCGTTGTTGTTGTTGTTCAGCTTGTCGGATGATGTTGCTGCAGGCTGGCGAAGAGAATAGAATAGAATAGAATAGAACGCAAAAAAACCCCTCAAAAATATATCAGGTTCAATGTAGAGTCGTCCTCTGTCGTATATCTAACTGAATGAAAGGATGGATGTTGTAGAGAAAGTTACACGTAGACCATGCTCATCAAAGTTCAAGTGTTTAACTAGATGTTTTTCGTCCTTTTTCCGTCTTTCTTTTCTTCTCCACTTCCCAATTCCATCCAATTTTAAGAATAGATAAATATCCTTTTAATTACAAAAGATAATGGCCATAATATGAAATAAAATGAAAAAACTGAAATAAAAACTGCAAACAAACGAACGTTTAAGAACACATTTTCACACAAATCTCCTAACATTGTATTTAGAAACGGAATGTATAGAATTAGTTGGGCATACAATCAAATTGAATATTAAGAAACGAAAGGCAATGATAAGATCAGGAGATACCTTACAAAGGAAGAGACTTTGTAGGATGAAGCTGAATGAGCAGATTTTACAGATAAAAAATGAGTTATTGCTAATTGAAGTTTTAGAAATGGGTGCACATTTGATAAACTGACGATATCATCATTGTAAGTTTACTTTTTTTTACATACTTCTCAATAAAATTTAACCATTTCAGAAGTATGAACCGAATGTATGCGAGAAACCTTTAACWAGTCCCAACATGAGCTGAAAACTGTTTTTTCTCATCTTTCATTGATCTACATCAGAGCTTTAGTTTGCTTTTTAGTTGATATTTCAAACGATCGAAAATCTCGCTGTAACACTATGGCATTTCCGTGAGATTCTCGAACGTGATTCWGAATATAGTCAATCGTTTAGCCAACCTGAGCACAATTAGTATTCATCATTTCACGAAGATCAGTTCAAGGAGCGGAAATTCGCCCTCAATGAGCGTTGTATGGTCCGAAAAGCAAATAATGCTTTAACTGAAGAAAGTCATTCATTTATCACCATCATCATTGTTGTTTTTGTTGCTGTTGTTATTGTTGCTGTTGTTGTCTTTGTTGCTGCTGTTGTTGTTGTCTTTGTTGCTGCTGTTGTTGTTGTTGTCTTTGTTGCTGTTGTTGTTGTTGTTGTTGTTTTCGTCATTGCTGTTGTTTTTAACACAAATCAACCTTGTTTCTAAGCCCTCGTCCAGACTGATTGATGCTTTTGCTATAAGTGTTCAAAGCAATGGAAACTGCTACGAGAACGGTACGAAAAAAAAAACGCATTAGCGTGGACGATTCTTTGGATGCAAAAATGACTGGACAAGAATCTTCTTTAATGCTATTCTTTCCTACTCTTTTTCTATTTAAAATACAATTCTTTGACACGTTTTTTTTTCTTGTTACACTTTCCTTTGTTATTCCCAGTAAATAAAGGCCCCACGAAAAATAGCAACAAGAGATGTCGCATAGTTACTTGTTTATACATTTCACTTGAAACCGAAAAAAACTTCCTCTCAAAATGAACCGCCACAAGATTTTTTATCAMAACTATCGCATGTTTTCAAGCGTTTTTCATTTAGTATTGGTATATTTTACAAATTAAATATGATAAACCGTCAAGTTCACAAGCTGTGGTGCTTTGCAAACATGGAGCACGTCTCCATGGCAGCGTGCGTCATAACTGAATGAGGTCTTGATCGCTTGTTTACCTCTAGTTTAAGCAGCTGCTGAAAAGCTGGAAAATCTGGTAGCCGTTTGTTCGTCTACTTGGCATTTTTAGATTTAAAAAAACCCCGTTTTTTCCCTTACTTTATTAATTGTTAGAGCTCGTCGATCCTACATCGTACTGTTAAATCTAATCAGTAACACACTACTGGGTAGTGGCCTAGTTTTGGTAGTTCTCTCATAGMCAAATAAAACGGCAACTGGGCCTCGTTTTCTCAGTAATTCCTRTGTTTTGTCTAGAACTTATTTATTTTTACAACAAATGCAAAACAAAGAAAAAACCCAACTGCTAAAGTTTGTAAGCAATACAAATTAAATAAAACTATGATATAGAATAGAACAGAATAAAATGAAATGAAAGAGAATAAATTGAAATAATTCGACCGATCCAGTCTCTCGAAGTCCACTTATCCTCGAGGGTAGTCCTTTCATTTAATGACGTCATGCGATGATACCCCWAATGCACTATGGGATTGACAAGATTATCAGAGTATTGAGACAGATTTTTTTGAAAAAAAATACTAATCTTAATTCATTGTTTTAAACCATAGTATTAGCATTGTYAGCATTTTGAAAATAAAACTTTACCATAAAAATTCTGAACACAGGAGATGGCTTGGAAATATAATAGCATTTCTGACGGCCTACAGCGCAAAACTCCCGAGTAAATCCACTCAACTCCTCGTAAATGTCCACATCAACTCCTACGCTTTTTTCTAATTTAAATCAGCTTTCGTCTTCCCTGATTTTAGYTATTTTTGCCTGATTTCAACTTTTTACTCGTAAAAGGCTTATGTACTTATCGAAGCCTTTCTCCTACTTGTTCTACTCTTTCGCTAAGCTTGACATTTCATTCTACTTCGCTAGTAATTGATGYAATCGATGATAGAGGACTATGTTTTTTCTTGTCTCTCTTTCCATCTGTCTCTTTGTTCCTGCTTAAGCTTAAGTCCATCGAGAAACGACGTCAGCGCAACTACTTTAGCGTACATTATCAAACAATACATAAAGATCTTAAAGAACTTAAATATTTCTTTTTACATAACATACTACGACTACTTTTTTTAGCTATTATAATAATTTTCGTGAATCCATGTCGCAACGAGATCTAGTTCTCACGTGTCAATTAGATATTACTGGACATAAAAAGGACATAAAAAAACAACCTCATGCTTTCAGCCAACATGTACATACAAGTGGCTTCAGAGATTATGAAAACAGAGCACTTATTCCGCTGTTAAAAACACTGTAAAAGTGCAGCAGGCACTACAKTSAAGTGTCTATTTTTTATCACTAGTGAAGCTGAAGATATTGTTTCTGGCTCGTTTTGATGCGAAGGCGTTTGTGAGGAAGTAATAAAGTAGACCTAGATATCATTGATGAAGCCGCTTTTCTATTTACGGATTCAYGTGCTAGGCTCKTGAAAGGCGCAGTAGGACTGGAGTTGACAAGAAAGCCTTCCATTGGTCAATATTATCATCAATTCGCGTTTCTTTTTCTTACATTAGTTAACAAATAAACCTGCAGTAAAAAATTCTTTATTTTTTATACCTATATACAAGGGCTTTGTCAAACAGGATAGAAAAAGCAACAAAAAGCTTACAACACACTAGTCTAAATACAAGCAAGCTAAGCCGCCTGTGTACGCTATCAAGTTATAGTTTCAATATTGACACACTACATGCAAATTGGATTTCCTGTAGTATATACTGGCAGAGAGAGATTGGAAACAGTTACTCTAGACTTTCTGAATGGTCACCAATGCGGTTTTTATGGCGACCAGTGTTGCTGTGATAATATTTACAATTATTTAACTGTGAGTAAATCAGCATTTACTCACTAAACACGAGAAAATAATAAAAAACATTTTTTTTACTTTTGCTGCTAAAGTAAATTGTTTTTATCCCTCTTTCGTCCACACTGCACGCGACCCCTCCCCTACTACAAGTTGATTTTCTTCACACTCTGTTACTGGAATTACCCTAAGTATGTAACAAACGCTTCTTGTTCCTATCCACATAGTTTTTTTTTCGCCAAATTCTTCCAATCTCTAATATCTAAAAGTTACTATTCCATCTTCAAACAATTTTGATGTATTTTTTAAAATCTTTCGACTGAAACGAAATGTCCTTCAAAATCTAAACGATTTAGAATTCTTAGCCACACGACCAACCGTAACGTATTTGCTGCGGAAACGCCGACTTCTTACGCAGTCGTTAACGTTTCACACGTCGGAAMATCACTCTCGTATGAATGGGAAAACTGGACGCAACCGAATCATTATCAAAACACTAAGCTTTACAGACGTACTACAATTCCGTAGCTATCCGTATAACCGTGCGTAACGTGAAATTTCCCACTCATACGTAAGCTACTCCAGTTGTTCTTTGTGAGTTTTTTAACTTGACTAATGACGATTCTTTTTCTATTTTTTCACGGCTTTGACCGAAGCAGACGCGGCTCTTTCTTTGGTGCTTTTATCTTTGGACGAMGATTTACGCCGACTAATGAACTGAGTCGCCATCGCTTTGATCTGCGGAAACGTTGTGAAAATCAGCTCAGATAATACGAGGAAAACATGGTATACTTGTGTGCAATATTAGCGATAGTATCTGAGAATTATCACGTGAATTATATCGAAAATTTCATATCGAATACAGACAATTTTAGACAATGTTAGATTATATGCCATACAAGCTGCGGCTTTCAGTTAGTCTTACGTATATTTATTACTATTTACGTTTACCTTTTGCGTGTTCGTGCAAAGCAAGACTAAACGTTACGTGCGTTTTCAAGTAATTTATCTTACGTGCGTGATATGCCAGACCAGATGCGACCAATTAGTTGGGCTTNGAAATGCAGGGAGAAATTTATAWTAAACCCTTAGAGAAGGAGTATAAATATTATAATAATAATAAGACTTTTAACTGTTGAGACTTAAAAATTATTGGATACTCTTATGTGATAAAATTTAAAACAGATAATAACGAAATGGCAACACAAAAGCTACTCACAATCTAGGGACAATGTTGCCAGCATATTGAACCAGCTCRTACAAATCTGAAACTCTTCGTCCTTTCTGGAACTCATCRAGAAGATGAAGCTCAAGATGTCGCAGCTCGTCAGATATTGCCATGTCTGCATGCAATGTCAAGGTTATAGTTGCATAGAGAAATTATATTTTATGTTTCTAAATAGTAATACTTGGTCTAAATTTATGAATGTTATCAAGTAAGCCATTTAAAATAGCTTATTATAGATATAATTATATGCCAATTTTGATAATAAAACTAAAAACAATGCATTGTAACACATTTTGAGCATTGAATAAAAAACGTACAATTATTTCAAATTTTGAGTCGGTTTATACAACATTATGTTAATATAATTGACAAATTGGGTTAAAAAATGAAGAGTGACACGAGTTCTTGGCAGCGACACATTCACATTCATGTGAATGTACTTCACCTCATGTGACTGTCTTTGACATCTCGGAAATCTTGCCACAAATTGACGACCATCTTGTCAATTATACACGTTCAAAGTGACAATATTCGACAATTTATATTGTGTATGCACTCTCAACGGGAACGATTTAATTATAAATTATCCGTATCGCACCTGCCRAGGTTGGAAAATTGGGATACTTGAAGTAGAGTTCACTTTCGAAATCCATTGAAACGATCGAGGTCACAGTTTTGAATGGAAGAGTGGGAAAAAATGCGTTTAAACTGATCGACATTAGCGAGCTAAACAATCAATTTTAATAAGAGTTTAGAGTTAACTACGGCTTTCAAGTAAAGCAATCTCTGGATGAAAAATCAAAATAATAGTTTGAGATCAAATTTCACATTTCTTCAGTTAAGGATACACAACTCGTAGTAACTTTTTGGTGATAACAATGAAGTTCTTAGCTCACTCAGCATATTTGACGCATGTTTTAGTCCATCCATAAGCTTGCCTTTGTCCTAGTTTAATGAGCACACGATCAATACACMAGAAAGGATTTTTAGTGTGGTTAGAAAACAACATTCAACTCACTAACCAGACATCGTTTCATCTGAAACGACTGTGACTTGACAACTTGGATTGCTTCGTCGAGCAATTTTTCYTGGTCYTCAGTCGTTGGCGCCTGTGGTGGTGCCTTTTTAAACRTGAAACTGTTAATCTATGGTATTTTTGATGCATGAAAAAGCCAAWAAGGGTTAAAATTAATCTAAAGAAAACCCACCATTTCGATGCTCTTCACTTCCGACTCTGACTTGAACACTCCAAGGGACCGAGCACGTGATCTCTAGTTCCAGACTCCCTTTTGCCCTGTCATCATTTCYATCCCCTCCCCTGTAAATACATCGTTGTTAATAAATGTTTCAGCGTTGAAAGACGACAGCCGTTTGTTGATTTTGCCCGCATTGCCTCTGATGGTGCAACATAGATCAAGTTAGTTGATAAAGGGTTTTAAAAAGTTTTACCATCTATCTCTGGCCAKGACGCAGTATCCGAGGACTCCCCGAACGCAGCCGACATCATTCGAGCGGTTCTTGTTGTTACTCGTCATTTTACTCGTCAYAGATCCATATTTATTAACTTTATGTGCACTTATGTGTATAGATCGTTGATTTTCAAGTGGGTTTTCGATATATTAATCTTTTCTCCCAACTTTGATGTAAACTTGTGACGGTATCAGAACGGTCTGAACTTCTACAGTCGCGCTTGGYCATAATTATGGATTCACTAGCATCAAATTTGCCAAGACACTACAGACGTAGAAACTTTGAGATTTTAGCTATCTCTCTGTGGACATTGCTAGATTTTGTCGTCTCTACAATATTTGCTCTTCACTGGAATGACGTGTCTTGGATGAGCAAATCAATTTACGAGTATGAATTTTGCACATCTTCTTTCGATTTATGGATATTTTCCTTAATTCGCTTTGGTATTGTGTTTGGAGCGCTTGTCGGCATTCTCCGGAATAAAAAGGAAGCTATACCCCGAATCAAGTCCACGACGAAAGCCATTTTTTATTTCCAAGGTGCTCTAGTTATTGTAATGATTATCAAAATTCTGATCAGCACTGAATGTAGTCTTAGCAGCACGCAGAAGGTTTGGCTTTGGGGATTTGCCGGTTGGAGTTTTCTGTGTTCGTGCGTAGTTGTTGCATCTTGGTATGGTATGTCCAAAATGAGATTCCCATCCCTTTTTTCGACGGAAGAAGAAATTGGAGATGTGTTAGAGAGGGAGGGATTGCTTGAAGAAGATGGGACATCTGATGATGAAAGTCATGAAAACAAAAAAGACAGCAAGACAAAGGTGTCATTTTGGAAGATTCTTGCTTTCTCCAAACCTGACATTGTTTATTTGATGATAGCATTTTTCTTCCTTCTGGCRGCATGTGCTGCTCAGATTTTCCTTCCRTATTATACTGGTAGAGTTATCGATGGCATTGCTATCAAGAAAGACCGCAAGATGTTTGAACAAGCTATACTAATTATGTCAATGATTGCATTACTAGAGGCTATCTGTGCTGGCCTGAGAGGTGGAATTTTCTCGTTTGTCTGTGCAAGGTTTAACATTAGGGTCAATAACACTCTTTTTGAGTCCATTGTAAATCAGGAAATTGGTTTCTTTGACAAGACAAACACAGGCGAAATAGTATCAAGAATAACTTCAGATACGACAAAGATCAGTGACCAGATAACATTGAATGTGAATGTGTTTCTGCGCAGTATCGTCAAGGCAATAGGGGTCTGCGTGTTCATGTTTAAACTGTCATGGAAACTGACAGTAATAACACTAATATGTCTGCCGCTGATTGCAATAGTATCCGATATCTACGGTGAATACTACCGCAAACTCTCYACAGCTGTCCAAGACTCTGTAGCCAAGTCCAATGAAGTTGTAGCTGAAGTAGTGTCCTCAATGAAGACCGTCAGAAGCTTTGCCAATGAAGATGGTGAAGTAAATCGTTACAAGAAAATGAATAATGCAGTGTTCAGGCTGAAAGTCAAAGAAGCTATCTGCTATGGTGGATACAGTTGGTGCACAGAGATCCTTRTGCTGGCGATGGARGTGGTGATTCTATACTATGGTGGCCATTTAGTTCTCAGAGGTGATCTTACAGGAGGAAATCTTGTCTCTTTCATTCTATACCAGCTGGAGCTTTCATTCTGTCTGGAGGAAGTTGGAGATGTCTACACTGGATTCATGGAGGCTCTGGGAGCAGCGCAAAAAGTATTCAAGTTAATTGCCAGAAAACCTAAAATTTTGAACAACGGTGAAGTTRTACCTCAAAACCCTATTGGAAAGGTCGAGTTCAAAGATGTGTCATTTTCATACCCAACAAGACCAAATGTTCCAGTATTGAATGGCGTRTCATTTGAGGTAGAGCCAGGTCAAGTTGTTGCATTTGTTGGATCTAGTGGTGGAGGAAAGAGCACAGTCATAAATTTGCTGCAGCATTTTTATGAGCCACAAGGAGGGGAGGTGACGATTGACGCAGTTCCTGTGAAAGATCTTGATCACAAGTACCTTCACCAAACCCAGTCACTTGTTGGACAGGAGCCGGTATTATTCTCACGATCAATCAAAGGWAATATTGCTTATGGTATAGATGAGGTCATGGAGGACACTGCAATGATAGAACACGTAGCAAAGCTTGCTAATGCACACACGTTTATCAGAGAAATGCCCAARGGATAYGACACAGAAACTGGAGAAAAAGGTCTSCAGCTATCTGGTGGACAGAAGCAACGRATAGCYATTGCAAGGTCWTTGATAAGAAAACCTTGTATWCTTCTCCTTGATGAAGCAACTAGTGCTTTAGATGCAGAAAGTGAGCATCTTGTACAAGAAGCCATCTACAACAATCTAAAAGGYCAYACTGTTCTTATCATTGCACATCGATTGAGCACAATTGAAAAGGCCGACAAGATTATTGTAATTGATAAAGGAGAGGTTGTAGAGCAAGGAAACCACGAGGAACTGATGCAAAAAGATGGATTTTACACTAAACTTGTGCAAAGGCAGATTGTTGGAATGGACAGTAAAAGTTCATCACAAGATGAAGAACCAACTACAGTAAGGCAAAGAAGTAGGTTGACTTCTGATGATAGTGARATCTCACAATTGTCTTCAAGTTTCTCAAGTCAGTCATCACCAGTTGGCTCTCTTGGAAAAAGTCCATCAAATCGTAGACTGTAGACTGTAGATACATTGTACATGTAAGTGCTTATCATGCTTGCTTTAACAAAAAATCTATGAGTCACTCATTAAGGGAAAATGAGTGCTTTGGATTTTGTTTTCTGCAAGTTGTCTTGCATTAAATTGCAAATCAAATACTTGTAAACAGGCAGAAATATAGGAGCTTAGAAGTTAGTATTGTTACAAATATATGTACGAAATCCTAGAGTGCTCGCACTTAAACTATGCAACTGTACAAAGTCTAAGTAGTACTATTTTGTACTAAAAGTGGACCTGAAGCAAGACGGTATTGAATGCTTTATTAATTTGTGTACCGCATACACAATTTACTAAATACAACTAAATAGCGCTATTTAGTTTGTACAGTTGCACGGTTTAAGTGCAATCACTCTACTTAGTGGTTTATTCATACAGTATTTACATTTATAAAAGACAGCACTGTGCTGTGAGTGTCATAAGCTTAAACAACTGTATTTCTCACTGCATGTTAAAAAGAAGTTGTAAATATGAAATCTTTTCTGATTTGAAGCTAAGCCTGTATTCCCACAAGACCTAGAGTTTGAGCCTCCTGTGAATACAGTCTTAACCTCAAATCGGAGAAAATGCAAATTTGTACTAGGGCTATTGTGCTTTGTTTTGTTTTTGGTTAAGTCTCTGCGCATGAGAGACGGTTGGCAATTAAAACAGCAGTCACTCGCTTTGAATGGGAAAGAGGGTTTTGGGTCACTTTATCCGTAAAGGACACCAACCTTTTGTACAACTGTACCCTGATGTTTATTATAATATTTCTATTCATTATATTCAAAGTTCTTAGAACTTTTAAGTTACAATTTTTTAAAATAATCTCATAATCTCCAATGCAGGTGACAAAGTTACCATTACAATATTACTAAATCTATAATATTTTATATAATCGATGTACAGCTAAAATGCTATTCCAGTTAAGGTTATGGTCAACCAGCATTCAATRCYGTTGGGTTTAGATTTTTCATTATGGTTAATATCCATTCACAATCCATACAGCAGTGTTGAGATTAAATCGTACAATATTTCCATTCATAGAGTGCAAATGGATAATAAAGAGTACAGTACTTGGTTGCTCATGTTGTGATATATTATYATTTTCAAGCTTAAAAGAAAAGCTTGTACCAGATGCTTGTTGACCTTTAAAATACTCTGTCTTGAACTGCCATGCTGTTATATGTAGTTGAGATGGTTGTCAAGCTTGCCATGACAGATATCTCTGTACGAAGCATTGTTCTTCAAGATGTGAGCTCAACATTTTACTGTATCATATGACCATGCGAGTCATATCCAGATTATAAAGTAGATAGATAGATGATAGATCGTTTAATAAAGAAATACACATTGCAGCCAAGGGCTGAATTACGTGAAAAAGTATTGAAATACAGTACTAGAGAACAAATTTTTTTTGTGTTGTTGAACTTGTCGAACTAAACACACCTTTTTTATTGTATTGGGCTTCCTGTGGACGTTTGTCGCATTCCAAGCCCACTCACATTTGTTCGCCACAGGTACCCCACAATAACTAATAAAGGGTTTACGAGATGCGCGGGCGTTACCAAAAACAGCATCGATGAAAATAGCAACTGCAGTTAAAATATAAAGGAATTGATAATATAAACGAAGATTGAAGTACAAAAGTCTACACACACAAGACTCGATCCTCGTAAACCTAGCCAGAAACGTCTTTGTACATTTTTTTRTTTTATTCTTTTTATTTATTTATTTTTTATTTTTTCAAAAAATAACAAAAAAACTTCAAGCACTTACATAACACGAGTTTACGAGTTGGTAATTTCACGGACATACGTTAAGATTTTGAAAGAAATATCTTAATCAGTGTAAACAAAGAATAATTACATGCTCTATATTACTTCCTTTATCTAGTGCTTCGTGGACAGGAACTTGTACGCCAACGTTTTCTGAAGACGAAGTGGTTACCATATGTTCATTAAAGCTGAAGTTTTCACTAGTAACGCTAAAGAAGGCTCAGAATCAAGAGCAAACTGAAGAAAACTTTTTTTCGTATTGAAAACCAGCAATTTTTTGCCCTTGCATAATTCTCCCGCTTGCTCTTTCGTCTCTAGTGAAAACCAGGCTTTCAAGTTTTTCTTTTCTTTATTTTATTTTTCCTTGCAATTTAATCACCGGAATCTCTTCAGAATTAATAAAAGTTTGTTCACTGCGCGCCTTGTTGGCAGTTCCGCCATTTTTTCGGGGATAATAATTTCAGTCAATCAAAAAAGAAAAATTACATTCAGAAACCCATAGCGAGAAGCAGATGTATGTCTCGTATGTTCAACGAGTGTAATTTTGATGCGATAAAGATATTTTTTTCCACTATTTCCTTTCTGAATTCGCTCTACATCTGTTTTATACGAGGCATAATTAACTACATAAAGTGTGGGCGAATTCTTGGTTTTTGAGTCGTCAACTGTCAATTTAGATAAAAAGCGTTTTATTGCAAAAAAATCAAAAAAAAAAAAAAAAAAAAAAATCGCAACTATCAAAAATAATCGATATTCCAGAGTCTGTACTGATGTCTTGCAACTAAAAATGGAAAATGTTCATTAAAATATCATAAAGATAACATTGAAAAACAACAACAACAACAAACAAACACAAATTACCATTTAAAGTTATTTTTAGTTTAATAGTATTTTTWAAAAAAAGTTATCGGATGATAGAAATAGAGAAATGTATGATATCCAGGCACAGAACATACAACTGAGAGTTTTTTTTTCTGCAATCATAAGGCAGACACATCATTAACGAAAATTAAATCTTTCCAAAAGTCTTGTACGTATTCCTTGTTAGATCACACTTTCTGAAAAAAAAAAACAACAACAAACATTTTATAAACTTTGTGCTATATACTTTTCCGAAAAWTTTTAAAAGAAAATAGAGTTCAACGCAAAAAATGACCTTGTTTTTGTCACGGGGTTATACGCGTGGGTGCTGCGAATGTGCGCTCATTTGAGAGTTGGCGTTCAAAGTGTAATTGTTATGTTGTTGTATGACACGTGTTTTTTAATTACATAACAACAAATCCAACTACAGYTCTTCCATGACATAGGCTGTATAAACATTGCTAATTGTACGGTTCTTAGCAAGACGTTTGATTGACGTCTTTGCATAATGAATCAGTGTCGTAAAGCCGTACGGCGTGGTGGAACAATAGGTAGGGTATGGGTCGTTTTTGATCAAGGGAGTGCCAGTTTAGTTAAAGGAAGACACGCGAATCCAAAGTGTGGTCGTATGCAAGSATATTTTGTGTTATTTGTAGTCAGACCAGAGGAGAATAATAAAACCATGAAAAAGTACTAACCAAGTACTATACCAGTATGAACATTAAGGGAATGAAAACCTTGGAGCAATTAGGATCCGGTAGACTCCACAATGAAGAGAATTTTTTGTTATCAAGAGTTTTAGTGAAGGAACTTGTACTAATGGATGATTAGCAGAAAGAACAACAGTCCTTGTTATTGCATAGAAAGGGATTCGTTAGACATAATAACGTTATAATAACGTTTTCCGCACCGGAAAACTGAAATCTTAAAAAAATTAATTTAGCGCTTGTGGTGTTGTCTTTCTCTCTTTGGTGGKGCTAGTGCTACGTGATGCGAATATTTAAGTGCCCTCTCATGAGTATACTTAAGCCGCAGCTACACGAGCGATTTTTTAACTTGTGCAGGCGACGCGATTTGCGGGTACGATGAAAGCTGAACATCGAATTTGAGCTGTTTTTGCACATATACCTCTTTATGGAGATTCAAATAAGTAGTTGTGAGGATTTTTTACAGCATTGTCGCTCGTGTAGCCACATAGTGCGCTGCTAATTTTGAAAAAAAACCGCGTCGCATGCGCCAGAGATTGAATTTTTAAAGATCATTATAGACGAACACTGTTTATTGTCTTTTTATTAAATAAAGTTGTCTTACTTCTCCTTTGCAGCGCTTTTGGCAGATATATATAATGTTATTGTTACATAACACATGAACACGTTTTCTTGTAAGAATAAAGTTTTAAATCTAATTCCCTGATGAATGTTTTTATTACTAAAATCAATACTCATTTTAATTTTCCTTAATTTCTTCATTTCAATCTTAATTCTCATCTGAACTGATATCTCCTCAACTACTGATATCAAAACGTCATTTGTTACTTCTAAAAGCCATACTTAATAGAGAGGACTACAAGTCCTCTCTATTACCTATGTAAAAGCGTTGTTTTTTTGTGTGTCTGTGTATGCAAAACTGGGTCTGCCGCAGGGCCAAGTTCCATTTTAAAATTCATTGACATCCGGGAAAAGTAGTTCAGTTCGTAATCACTGTCGTTCTACACAGACTACCAGCTAACAAATCAAGGTATATATTTGATCTTAATCTTGAACAACTGATAAACATTGTTCAAATACGGTGATAGACACGCCTTAAGCTGCCAATTTACAGCGCAAATATCGGGCCGACTCGCCGCTAGCGTCTTTTTCATCAAACTACCCCACAGAGCTCTTAGGCTGCGAAACGGAAAAAGACCCTGATTTATTGCACTTATTTTTTTTCTAGAAAAGTATGTTTTGTCTAGAAATGCTTCTAAATGACGCTTCAAGTGATTCTTTAATATTCTAACGGTCGCTCGGCGCCCAATAAATCTTAAGTGCTCATGGCGAAAATTAAAGTTATTTTCGATTTGACCACAATATACTTGGCCAAAAAAAATATCAGTTTTMAAAACAAAACCTTCAATGTCTTGGCCTATACTGAGTGCAGTTTTCATCGCATTTCATTTATATTGCTTTTAATCGCGAAACAACTAGAAATCTAGTAGGCAAGGAAACGACAAGTCGACGAGACTGTCTCGAAATAGTGATTGATGAATTAGATAGAATCCATTAAACGTTAATGCAAGATAATGGCAAAATAGCGACTTAATGTAAGGGACGGTCCATTTAACTTTTGAGGGGGGGGGGATGATTTCTTGTGAGCAAGATTTATTTTTTCTTCGTGGCTTTTGTGTAGGATATATATTTTTTCTCTTGGTGGTGTGTAGGATTTTTTTTCTTCTTGTATGTAACATTTTTTGGGGGCTTAGGGTGGTCTTTTTTTAGGTCCATATGTTGTGCACGATTTTTATTTTTGGTGAAGATGACTTGCAGGTTTTTTTTTTCCAAAATCACCCCCCCCCCCCCCCCCCCCCCCCTCAAAATTTAAATGGACCGCCCCTAACATTGTCCAAAAATGAAGCTTTCTGGGAATGAGCCAACATTTTAAGCGAAATATAAGTGAAGACATTTTAATTTGTTTTTGTGTTTGCTTGTTTTTTGCTTTGTTTTTGATTCTTCACGTGTATACAAGATTGTTGGACAACATTATGTAATATAAGCCCATGGCAGTGAGTTATGGATACAACAACGTCACATTACCGTTTCGTAAAGAATAAATAATACATCTTTATATTGTTGCCATAATCTATAATTTCGATATATTTTTACGAAGATTATCTCTGATATTCTCACCATTTTTACTGGTAATCCAGCTCTTTGAAAATGTTCTAGTTCAGATGTTCAAGTTGCCATATAGAATATTTTYTTAGTTGTTCATTTTTCGTGTGAGATTGMTGGTGCAGTTTAATTAATAAATCAGCGTTTATTCATAAACTTTACGAAAACAGGAAGTCGAAAAATAGAACAAAATAGAAATAAAAGAAGAGAAAACTCTAATTAGAGATGCGCCGGAAAGCTAAATAGCGACTTCAAAGCCTCGCCTAGGACGGTAGGAAGAGAATTTTTTCTTCACTTCATGTTATTATAAACACACACATACACACGTCCGTTTACAAAACATTTTATCATGTATCAAGTTGTAAATATATCATAAGATGTTCAAATATTGGTTTGTTGAAAGATTATAGTGCTGAAATAGAGTTGTGCCAGTAAAGCGAGAATGCCTTGAAAAACGAACTGATAATTGGCACGCTTTTGATTTAAAGCCGACGAAAGAAAATCGTCTTAATACTGTCTGCCCTAAAAAAAAGATAGATTAAGAGAAAATAGCTACAACTCAAAAAGTATCATTCACTTTCCGCAAATCAGTGACCTAAAAAAAGATAGATTAAAAGAAAATAGCTACAACTCAAAAAGTGTCATTCACTTTCCGTAAATCAGTAAAAAGTCTCCTCAGTAAAATATAGTTATAGATAATATAGTTATAGATAATATAGTTATAGATAAACTTCTCACTTAATCACTTGCTTCAAGTTTTAATGAAAATTTATTGTTTTATTTATCTCTTTATCTATGTGTTTATTCTCTTATCCATTTACTCAATCTCTCATTCAAACATCTCATCCATTCACTTTCCCATACACTCATCCTTTTCCCATTCATTCGGTTTTTTCTTTCRTTGTCAATCGAAACGTCTTCCACTCGTGCCATCTTAAACTCCTTCACTGTCTCGATAATAACGTCTTGCGAAGCTTTTTGAAGCTTTTAGTSTCAACTACCTACTAAAAACTGTCAAGGGCAGTTATGTTGATATCAATAAATTGACAGATATCTACTTTCCTTTTTGCGAACAAAAATACCGTCTTTCGGAAGCTGAAAGGTGATTATATTCGGACACAACTATCGTTTTGAAATATCAACACCACGATATATTGATTCAGGTTCCAGTTGGGTATCAAATGATTATAGCAGTMAAGGCAAGTCAGTTATATTTCTCAGAACACAATTCTTGTGAAATCTTGTGAAATCTTCGTACATATATTTTCTCAGAAATATTGGAAAAAGTCGACATTTTCTTAGAAAACCCCGGTCAGTATTTATAGAAGCGGGCTTTAGTATTATTYTTATCCAAATGACACATAGCACTGACAGGCCATTTTTTGCAGACACACTTAGTTCCGCTGTTAAATTAAGCTATCGTGAATTTTATCGATTTTTATTTTAATTTTGCACTAATCTGGTTTTATGTCTTAGCATCATATAACTAATGCCACATCCGAGAACTCGGCACAACTCGTATTAGTTTGGAGTATTGAATCAACTATTTTTATGGCTTTCGTTAAGATGAAAAGCTTAAAGTAATGTTTAGATTTTGTGGTTTTATCTGATTATCTCGAAAGTCTTCTGTTTTGAATTATGAGCTGCGGTAATCAATGACGTTATAAAAGAAATTTTTTAAAGTAGGTTTGTGCGTGTAATGCAAAATATTTTACTTGCAAATCGCAAAAAAGATTAAACGAAAAAAAGAAAGAAAAAAAAAGAAAAAAGGAATTTGAAACCAGCTGCACAAATAAGAAAAAGATGAAATCAAGGCGATACAAACTGCATCAACCTGGCTACTGTTTACTGCTAATTCAATATAGGTTGTCGGTCACATGCCAACACCCCACCGAAAGGTACTGTGGGTAGCCAATATTTAAGGCGTGTTTGTGTTCAATATTTAGTCGTCTGGCGCCAAAAACACTGACAAACCATCATCAACGAAGAATTTAGATAACGACAGTATTGTCTGCCCTATCCAGTCCCAGACCCTTTTTTGACCCGCTCCCCTGATAGGAAAATATCGCCATCAATACCCATACTACCTTACGGTCTTGTATTCGCTGTTTTATCCCCGACAACCCCTTTTTAAATAGCTGTATATTCTACTATTAATACACTTTATACAAGTGAACCGGAATTGCGTCGAGAAATCTAAAGTTTGCCACTTCTCGCTGCTACAGCTACCGACAAAATATTACATTGTTTAATGAAAGAGGCTGCTATTGCTCGATTTATCAATTAATAAAAAACTGCTTAATCTATCAATTACTTTTCGGAACACTTGAAAATGAACTATTTCCTATAAACGAAGGGAAAAGAGTATTAAATCGCACGTTTTCAGAAGATATGTAAGACATATTACACACACAAATACTGACTAACTTTGACCAAACTGGAAAAAACATGCCATGATAGTCTAAAGATGTTTGCGAAGGCCGAACAGTRGGTATTTTATAGATTGTAATTATGGAAAGCTGAAGAGGCCGCCCATTTCCTATAAAATAAGAAACAAGAGGATGTWCACAAATCAACTCAAATTTCCAGACGTGGAAAACCTGCTGCTAGAGAAAGCTGCTTCGAAAAAAAAGATCRCTCAATTCTCAACTTCCATAAATTCCCATGCTAAATATTCCAAAAACTCCCGAGAAAATATATTGATTAATGTTTTTATTTTCACTTAAGTAAAGCAAGAACTAGAAACGTATGAAATTGGAAACTTTACGGATACTAACTACAGGAAACAAACGAAATTACAGCTCCGTTTGTGGTCATTTGCGCTCAGAAATKTGTATAATAATTGTCCAATTTACAATATGACAGAAATGTTAACTGTATCTGAAATATTTGTGTTTGAATAGTTGTAAATATTTGGTCTATGTGTGAGGTACCAATTCAAAAATTCACTTTGGCGAATATGAAATAAAAAATACACTTCAGGCTCAGACATGGATGAGTCATATWAATTTTTGCTGGAGCCAAGGTGGACTACTGCATTATGAACTACGTACCCCTATTATGTTTGACAATTTTAGTTAAAATACTCAAAATTTGTTTGCTTGTTCGCACTTTTAAGTCTTCTAAGCCAATGTGAATTTCCACAAATTATGTGTTATAAGTCTAAGAGGATAACACAGAAACGATGGTGAAACGAAATTACTGTTTCAACAGGCCATATGCATTATGTCATAACTTTACTACAACTACCAGAGAGCCTTGCGCATTTTCATTGTTATTCAGATTTTAAATTCCCTTGGAATTTGCATTATGGCGTAACTTTACTACAACTACCAGAGAGCCTTGCGCATTTTCATTGTTATTCAGATTTTTAATACCCTTGGAGATTAATAAAACAATTGGCACTAATTGCATTACAAAGGAAAGTTGGCAAAGCATTCTGGTAGTTGTAGTATAAGACGCMATAATGCAAATCGGTTTTTGGAAGGACAGGTGCACCGTCAATTTTCATATTTTTACCAGCTTTTCAGTTCGTTGGCAATGGCCTTGGCTTAGTTTTAGGYCTTCTGTGCGTGGAATGACCAGTTCGTTTATCACTCATTCGCTATTTTTCGCTATAACATGACGTGATGTAGTATTATTAGTATGTGTGTTTGGCCACGCCTGCGCATTGGAAAACCCCTGCTACGTATGCAGGTAGTTGCTAGGTGACGTCCAGCACTATATCAGGGCATAGTGCCTCTTGTTTCTAACAGATGTACAATGACACCGACGCGGACAAAAGCACGTTAAATAGTATTTTCTTTCTCTCTTTCGCAGAAGAAAGCTCATTCACCAAGGGAGATTCAAGGCCTGATAAATCCACATATAGCATAGAGATTTGTTGTGAAGATTTTCGCTGTTATTCGTGGTAATCCGTAGCCATCATAATYATTATCAAACGGCTGACGCTAGGCTCTTTCACCATAGCCCACGTTTAAGTCAAAAGTAATCTGCCTAATCTATTATTACTGTGAAGACAAGGCCAGGTCAATACTCATCTTTCTGAAGCTACAAGCTCGTCTGAAAAAGGAAAAATTGAACGCACTATCATCGAAAGCGCTGACCTTTTGCTTATACTAAGTGCTCAGGAACTACATGTCCCTTGCATGGAACATAAAAAGCGATCGCGATTGTAAACATGGGTTGCAGTCCATCACATGCTCTCATTATTAATTCTCACTCACGACCTCATGAACAGATCTGTCTTCAGCCCAGGATTTACATGGTGTCAGAATCAACGTTGAGGATTTTGGAAGACGTTGGAGAGCTACGGTTATACCAACAGGAAGATAAAGACCCCGGTGTCGCTCGTGTGAGATTTGGAACAAACACGCTGGACCAACTTGAAAATCCTGTCGGATTTCAGTCGCAACTGAAGCGACAATTTTCTATAGATTCTGAAAAATCCGTTACAATAGCACGTCAAGACAGTAAAATCACTGTAAACTTGGGCACCACAGAAGAAGATGACGAGGAGAAATCCCTAGACGAGGCGAGTCGAGGTAAAGAGGAAAAAGACAAAGAGGATTTACCGAGTTGTTTAACAGGACAGAGCTCTGCGGCGTCTTCGACGACGGAGTTGGTCAGCGCGCAAGTTCACGACCCATCTTCTTTAAAATCGCTGGCTAAAGATTGTGTCATAAGCAATTCTCATGAAGCTTGTCTTGACATTGATCCTCAATATCAGCTTCAGTCAGTAAACTCATCATGTGCATCATTATAGCAAGTTTATTTTGCATAAAGCGTCGACAATACAAAAACACCATTTGATTTTAACCAACGCGTGTTCAGCAGCTTGAAGCGCGCCCKAAAGAACTATTTCCCCGTTAGATTGATTGAATATCCAGAGCTGAACAAATGGAGAATTGATCGAATTTCGTTCGCATTGAAGTATTTGATAAAACGAAGAAATAGAATAATCCGAAGATTACTTGAATTTCAATGTTTGGCTAATAAATAATGTCTACCGTTTATTTGACTTAACGGACGCCAAACTTCATATATCGTAGACATTGAATGAATATGAAAAGATCATTTGGTAGAAACACATACAAAACGAGTCGTGTAAATTCACGTGCCTGACCTATCAAAACACCTGTCGAAGATTGTCAGTCAGACACATATTTATGAGGATATACTATACATTTGATAAAAATACGTGGACAAACTCAAGAATACCATACGAACGCTTTATTTGACATTATTTTCTACGTCTATGTAAATATTACAACGCAATTCATGACAAATTTTGTAAATTCGATAGATTGAAGGGAGAGAGAAGCTTTGACGTAGTAGTTTCAGGAATGTTGCAACATCATTTCTTGCTAAACGGCATTCGTACAAAACTTCAATATTCTGAGGCATTTTAGCTTCTTTCTCTAATATATATACTTATGTAATCCACGTGTAAATACAGTTTGATTTGCCGTTATTAAAAAGAGAAAAGAAAAGTGAGGTTTATATGTGCTAGAAAAACGCTCACCGCTTTGAAAGCCTCAGTTTATTTTCTTTTTTAATTCTCAGCTAGTTTAATGTACTTGGCCATAAATGTGTTTGAATAAAATACGTGCAAAATATTTTACACAAGGCGAAAACAACCTTCACAGTTTGAATAGCTGAATTCATTTTCATAGCTTTTTAATTCTC